TGTCTTAGGTAACATCATCTTTCTCATTAAATTAGCTGTTATTCCAGACATTCCTTAACCGGCACCCACTCTCACCAAGAGCTTGCCGAGTTAAGCTCTACCTAGCGGCTACATTCCGATAAACGTCTCGACCGGCAGGTTAAACCAGATAAGGGTCTCCGGTGCTGTGTTTGACTTCACAACGAGTAATTCTGCTTCCATTCTCTTTCCTCACATTCCCTTCTTACTCCTAAAAGGGCTTACGGTGTAGGTGAACTACAGTTCCGTAGGCGACCCAGGATAACTCGTGTCATCGTACTACTAAAAAGCCGTAACAAATAGTGAAGTTCGGTATTAGTGTGGGATGCCTGACCAGCCCTATTTAGGAATAGCAATGCATTCCCTCCTCGAGGGGGATTGGATTAGAAAAAGTGTCCTGAACAAATGCTTGAAAATCACGCCATCTGCAAACATACCCCCGAGACCTGGATAACGTACAAGGCCTAAATACGGAATTCAACCACCTTCGCCTCAGGTGTCCCTGAGAACCCCAAATCTTAGATGGCAAGGCAGGATTCCGGACACAGATGTCCTTGAACGAACCAGAATCCCCTGTATCGACGCCCTAATGGAGTGGCCACCTAGCGAGGATTAGTGACGACAGTCTACTCAAACGAGTCTTCTACTTTGATGTCTCTACGACGCTGGAAGAGCATTCTGAAAACTTTCCTAATGCTACTGCGAATCAACTCGGAGACCTGGCAGTACTTCGTCTAGGGGCAGTCAATCTAAATAACAGCAATAACGTCTATGGCAGAAACTTACTTCCCTCCGCAAATTCTCGCTATTCATCACGTGCCAACTACGTCATGCGAGCGGCGTGAAAATGAGGAGTGTAATTAAACCGCCGAAACACCTATAAACCCTGACCATGACGCGCCTGTTTGTTCTCCATGGAATTGTAGTGGCATGACTATCAATAATTGAAAACATATGTTTGCCTATTGGCTTTCCCTAAATATATATATTTCGTTTATACGGAACTCACTCGTCCCGTTGTGCCTTAAGGGCTCTCTCTCGAGCCCAACCAGCAGCCGCACAGCGGCGCATGATATATAGGCAGAATAGCATTACCGACAAAGACAAGGGAGACTGGAATGGCCATTTCTGGCTTATT